ATGAATTTTGGATTCGAAGCATAGGAGGAAGCTTCCAGAGTTATTGCAAAGAATGGGCCCAACGGCTAGGCAGCATGAGTCACCTTTGATGGAAACCAGGTCTGAAAATCACTGGGGCAATTTAAACATGCTTTCTAGTGTGATGACGCTGTTGACTCCGAGAGAGGGTGGTGCTGATGCTGAGAGAGAGGATGATGCTGGCACCCTCAGAGGAGGATGTGTGCTGATGCTTCGAAGGAGGAAGCTTCAGGAGGTTAGGTCTCCCCATCAAGGGCTCAACAACAGAAAGTGTATTTGCATGGAAGGAGAAAAAGAAAGCAGGTATTATGAAATTCCAGATGCAGGTTCTAGGTGGGAGATATATTTTGGCTATATGTATTATTTATTGACAGAATATATAACTAAAGCAATGAAAAGAAAGGAGGAAAGAAGGAAGAGAGGGAGGGAGGGAAGGGGTGATTCTGGCTTAGTTGGAGGGCACAGTCCATCTTGGTGGAGAATGGTTGGCAGCGGGATCCCCAGGCAGCTGGTCAGAATGTATCCTCAGTGAGGAAGCAGAGAACAACGAATGCTGGTTCTCAGCTCCCTCTCTTTCACTCAGTCCAGGACCCCAGCACATGAAATGGTGCCATCCACACTCAGGGCAGGTCTTCCCCACAGTTAAACTTCTGGAAAATCCAGAGGTGTGTTTCCATGGTGATTCTAAACCCAGTCAAACTGACAGTGAAGACTAATGTCAACATTTTGTTGTCTTTCCACTGTCCTTCATGTCTGAATTTTGTCAACTAAAAACTAGGAGAAAAAGAGAATAAATGAGGCACAGTAAGACAAGCACCCTGCCCACTGCCTGTTTGGCATTATTTATTAGCAAGTATTCACTAAGCCACTGGGTGACATCATCCCAGACGCAGGATGGGCAGGTCAGACCTTGGGCATGTCAGACTTTGATCTGAGACATAGCAAGAGCTAGAGACAAGCATCAAATGATAAAACAGACACATGAGTGTGTTAGCTACTCACAGTGCTCAGAGTTGTCCAGAATGTGACTGAGGACCATGGGGGAAGGGAGGGGTGTCACTCGAGCATGGGTGCCTCAAAACCTCTGAGCAGGTGGAGGAACCCAGATTAAGGAGGAGCCATGCCAGAAAGCCAGCTTTGAGGTGACCACTCACCTGTCCTTGTGCATGTCCATGGCCTAGGACAGCTTAGGATGTCCCAGGGAGGTGACATAGCTGGAAATTCAAATGCTCCTGTTTGTTCCTCTCCAGGGGATCAAGCTGTGGCAAACTCATACATAGCTCTTCTGTCAGATCAGACAAACAGATACCATCAGCCTTCCATGGCCAGTGAACTCCACGGTGTGGTCAGGGTTCCTGCTGGGCCACTTCCTGGAACCAGCCAGTGATCTGGAACTGGCCTTAGGGGATCTCAGTGGCCCTTTAGCCTGGTCAAGGGACTGGCCTAGACAATTCTCAGGAACACCACTAACAAATGAAAAGACATTCAACCTTATCCTCATGCATAATTAAAGAAATGGGCATTGAAATTCAATATTTTCACCCACGTGCTGTTTAAAAGCTAAGGAGATTGGTAATATGGGGCTGTGGTGAGTCTGAAGGGAACGGTCCTTACAGACTGTTAGCCAAGCCTCTTGGCACTACTCATCACATTTGAAGTTGTAGCCATCCTTCGGCTCAGCAATTTCACTCAACTGAATCTGTTCTGAGATACTCAGAGACATGCTCTTTAAACAACACAGTACAAGGCTGTCGATGGCATTCTCTCCTCAGCTTGTGCAGCACTGAGGTTTTCAACCACGGTAACCATTCAAATGCTAACCAGCAGAGGCAGACATTAAAAATAAAGACAGTGTTGATACAACAGCAGTAATGGTTAGTGAGCGCCATTACAAACACCCAGGAGGCTACAGTGCCAAATATCGCTCTCGATGAGAACCAGAGATGGAAACAGGCAGCTGTTGCCGGCCCCTGAAAGCAGCAGCTTCCCTGTGCTTGGTTCTCTAGCCTGAGAGAGAGAGGGCTCTGGTTCCTTACCTCCTCCTGACTGAGTGTCCCTGCCTTGAGGCTGTTTACAATGGAATGACCTAAGATTCCGGGTCAGACACTAACCTCCAACCATCTTGGAGCTTACTCTCTAGATTTTCACCATCAAAATGGTTTCTATCTATTCCCCACTTTGAGCCTGTCTCCTAACTGATTTTAGAGTTACCTCTTCAGAATGGGGAACATCACAGTAACCTCAAGGAGGTTCTGTTGAAACTCTTTGAGGGAAAGCTATTTCCTTCTGTCACAGAATGCCTTGGGAAGAGACCTAACATTTGAAACTACCCAAAACATAAGACTTAATCCACTAGGCTACTTGCTGAGTCAAAGAGAGGGCAAGTGAGAGGTCGGAGGAAGGAAGGACCACAGTGGATGTTTGTCCCTCTTTTCAGCATCTGACCCATCTCCTCGAAGGATCTGGATATCTCACCTAGCTTCCACCATAACTGTTAGAAATGGCTTCTGGCACCAAGGATCTTGTAGCAGTGCAGTGAGAGCAAAGCCTGACTCTTCTTTCAAAGGAATCCAAAGACGTGGAAGGACTTGGGCTTCTTGCCACTTGCATGTGAGTAAAGGTTATGCTAACTGTGATGGTTAGTTTTAAAATCTTAACCTGGCACAACCTATAATTACCTGGGAAGAGTCTTAACTGAGGAATGATCTACATCAGGTTGGCCTGTGGGCACACCTCTGGAAGATTGTCTTGATTGTCAGTTGAAGTGGGAAAAGCCCAGCCCACTGTGGGCGACATCATTCCTAAGCCGGAAGTTTCGAACTGTATAAGAGAAGTCAAGCTAAGCATAGACAAACAAGGAACGTGAATATGAGTATTCCTCTCCACTCTGGACTGTGGACGTGTGACTGCCTTGACTTTCCCTCAGGGATGGACTGAAGAAATGAAATAGAAATGAAACTACAACACTAAAGCTTGGCAAAGGGACAGGACACGTAATAGAAAGATACACGGTGTCTCATGAAGCCCAGAAGATTGAACGGATGAGCCTGGAGCCCAGCTGCAACCAGGAACCTCGAGACTGGGATGGTGTTTGCAGATCTCCCTGTGGTTCTATACTTCCAGCTCTGCCTTCCCCACATTTGAAGTGTGCCAGACTCCTGCAAAGGAATACCTCAGATGCCAACTGAGGCAGTCACAAACATGCTGAGCTGACCACCCAGGGTGGCAGAGCCCTCCCATGAAGCCAGCTTACTAGGTCAGAAGAGCTGCCAGGGAAAAGTCCCACAGGCTGAGTGGATTCAATTACTCCCTGATTGCAAACAAGAGGACTTGAGTTGGACCTCCAGAGTGAATGTCATGCTCACCTAAAGTTAGACTTTAACTGAACTGAACCCTGAACCATCTCTTGTTGGTGGTGGTGGTGGGTTTTTTGTTTTGACTTGTTCTGCTTTTGCTTTTCAAGACAGGGTTTCTCTGTGGAGTCTTATGTGTCCTGGCACTTGCTCTATAGACCAGGCTGGCCTCGAACTCAGAGACTGCCTCTGCTTTAAACAACCTCTTTTGTCTGCTAGCCTTACCTTAGAACACTGTTTAAAAATAGTGGCCTCAAAAAAAAATGAAAATAAAAATAAAAATAGTGGCCTCAAGCCTCTTCAGACTTGGGAGGTGCAGAAGAGACCTTAAGGAATCTGTATTTTAAAAGGCTATTTAGAAGCTGGAGAAATAGTTCATCGATAAGAACTTGCTGCCCTATCATCAGAGATTAAGTTCAAATCCCAACCACAACATCCGGGAGTTCACAAATGCCTACAGCTCTAGGTTCAAGATATCCCGAGCTTCAGGAGACGGCCATATGTACCCTGCTACACACACGTCAATACTACAAGCAAATCTATAATAACAAAAACTGTATTCAGGCCAAGTGGTGCATGCCTTTAATCTCAGCACAGGAGAAATGGGTGTTTCTGTGAATTTGAGGCCAGCCTGATCTATATTGCAAGTTCCAAGATAACCAGGACTACCTAGAGAGATTGTCTCAAAACAAAAAAAAAAAAACAAAAAAAAAACAAAACAAAACGAAAGCAATACATACATAAATAAATAAATAAAACACAACAACAGCAGCAACAAAAATCAAATCAAATGGAAGCCCCACAAAGCTGTATTCAGACCGTCATGGTACGTCACTAGGCTGGTGGAGCGCATGACACTTCGTGGGAAAATGAGCATCCATTCCTCTCTTTTTTATTTCGTCTTTATTTTTGTTTTGGTAAAACAGGGTTTCATTCTAAACCCTGGCTGGGCTGAACTTGCTATGTAGACCAGGCTGGCCTCAAACTCAGAGATGCCTCTGCTGCCAGAGTGATGGGATTAAAGACATGGACCAAGGTGCCTGGCTCATTCCTCATCCTCCAACTGTGTTAAGTCTGGTAGTAGTCAAGCTTCCAGAGTTGGAATCAGGACTTCAACCCACCTCTCACCCTCTTCCAAAGCGCAACCGGTGACCCTCTGCCACCATCCCTTTTCCTTGTTCTGATACTTCTCAAGTCCTTGTCCACACAGATTTAGCCAATCGCTTCCCTCTCAGTCTACAGCTGAATCCACACGTGGCACAGAGCCAGCGGTGGCGGGGGAGGGGGGACGGGTGGGGCTCGGGATGAAGGAGTGGGAGGAATCTGCCAGTCCCTGGTCCCAGTGCTGCCTTTAGAGCCACCGCCCACCCTGTGACTCGCTCAACCGGGTCCTCCCAGGAATCCTTGCCACAGAAAGACCGGGCTGGAGCTCCGAGGGGCGTGGCCAATCCATAGTCACAGCCAATCACACAGGGTCCTCTAGCGAAGCGCGCAGTTGACAACTTAAACGACCCGAAGCTTCTGGGGACCCAGCCTAGAACGCGACGCTCGACGGAGCGGACCCGGGAAGCGTCTGCAGGAGGCCAGGGCGAGACCGGGTCCCCAGCAGAGCCCTCGGGAAGCTCGGAAATGGAGCCGCCGCAGGTTCCCGCGGAGGCCCCACAACCTAGGGCTTCCGAAGGCAGCCCGAGGCCGGAGCGGACCGGGCGGGAGGCGGCGGACGCGCAGCCCCAGCAGCTCCCAGAGAAGTCTCAGCCTCCCTCCCTGTCCGGGTCCCCGCGCGTGCCGCCGCTCAGCCTGGGCTACGGCGCCTTCCGCCGCCTGGGCTCGTGCAGCCGCGAGCTGCCGTCGCCGAGCCCCTCGTGGGCCGAGCAGTCCCGGGATGGCGAGGCGGAGCCGGAGCCCTGGACGGCGTCCGGAGAGCCCGCGACCGGATCCTGGGCGCCCGTGGAGCTGCAAGTGGACGTGCGCGTGAAGCCCGTGGGCGCGGCTGGGGCTAGTCGCGCGCCCTCGCCTGCGCCGTCCACGCGCTTCCTCACCGTGCCAGTGCCGGAATCGCCCGCCTTCGCCCGCCGCTCCGCTCCCCCGCTCCAGTGGCTGCCCCGCGCCCCGTCGCCAGGCTCCACGTGGAGCCGTGGATCGCCGCTTGCCGCGTCCGCGACCGAGCCTGTCGGCCCCGCTGAGGGCTGCACGGTTCCCCCGGGCTCGACCGCCTGCCGCTGCCGCTGCCACTGCCGCGAGCCCGGGCTGACCAAAGAAGACGACGCGCTGCTGCAGCGCGCAGGCATGGATGGCAAGAAACTGCCGCGGGCCATCACGCTCATAGGTGAGTGCTCAAAGGTGCTCGTGCCCCGTCCCATCTGACTGCTCCGAGTCCATCCTGCTTCTGTCTCAGAATTAATAAGAACCAAACCAAGATCCTGTCCACCACCACCACCACCCCTCGCCCTCCTCCCGGAAACTTTCTCATTCCTTCTCAGTGTGCGCAGTAGAACTCTGGGTAAGATGAGGGGAAGTGATTCAGAATCACGTGGCAGTGGTGGCCTGGGTACACTTCCAAGGGTTGGGCTCCTTTCCACCTTCTGGAGGGTCATCCATCAGCACACACTGAACTGGCCTCTCGCCAGACGGCTGGGCATGGGTTTTGCTTTGGTTGTGATGGAGAGGCAAGTCGAGCAGTGCAGAAAGCCCCTGTATTGGTTTGCTTTTTTCGCACTGTGATAAAACACTGAAAACCAACTTGAGGAGGAAAGGATTTCCCGGCTTACTAGGTTACAGTTTATCATCAAGGAAAGCCAAAGCAGGAACTCGGAGGCAGGAACAGGAGCAAAACCACGGAAGAAGGCTGCTTACTGGCTTTCTGCTCATCTTGTTTTCTTATACCACCGCCACCCCGCCTGCGCCTGCCCGGGGTAATTAAGAAAATGCTCTACAGACTTGTTTACAATCTGTACTTGCCAGTCTGGTGGGTGTATTTTCTCAAGGGAGGTTCCTCTTTCCAGATAACCTTAGCTTGTGCCAAGTTGACAAAAACAGTAACCAGTACAACCCCCTAAAGGTTGTTAGTGGCAACTAAGGAATTGCTCTGCTGTGGTTGGTTTACTGGAGCATCCTACGTTGTGGGAGGTAGAGGTTTGTTAGAGAACAGAGAGGCCTGAAGGGGCTAGTATCTTGCCCAGTAAGCAAACTGCCCAAACATGGGCCAGTGTCCTCAGGTAGGGGGAGGGCTCAGAGACTTAGATCACTAAAAACTTTTTGAATTGTGAGTGGATTTCTGCAGTGTGGGGTGAGGCCGCCATTGCTATTGCAAGTTTCCCACATGCTTGGCACCTCTAAGTACGCTTAGCATCCTGCAGTGTGAACATCAGAGGTCTGACACAGGCTCCCGAGTCTAAGGTGGTGCTATCAGCAGGGCTCTGCTCCTCTCACTGAGGCTCCAGGGCAGACGCCTTACTTCACCTTAGTGCTAGATCCTCCGCTGTCCATCCCAGCGGTGTAAGGCTGTATCCATCAGCCTCCCTCCTCCCGGGTAAGGACCCTCATGATTACACTGGTCTTGAGACCAGGACAGCCTCCATTCCAGGGTCAACCGAGCAACAACCTCGCCTCCATCTAAACCTTAATTCCACTTTGCCAAATGGCCTTAGTTCAGTCACTGTTCTAGGAATGGCGACATGCACCACTTTAGGGAGATGTTATACCAGCCTATAGCTTTTTATCAATGTTTTTCTATTTTTTAATTTTTAGTTTATGTGTATGAGTGTCTGCTTGTATGTCTGTATACCACTTACATTCCTGGTGCCTACAGAGGCCCAAAGAGGGTGTCTGATCTAGAACTGAAATTAAAGGCAATTAGTGGTAAGCCAGATTGTGGGTGCTGGGAATTGAACCCAGAGCCTAACGCAGGAGCAGCTAGTACTCTTAACCACTGAGCCATCTCTCCAGCTCCTTTATTGGATTCTTTAAAGAATCAGAGTATTGGGTTTGTTCTAGAGATTAAGCTCCCACTGTGTTGTGGAGGAGGGCTGAGGCAAACACTAGGCTGAGAAGAGACGGGAACAATGTCGGAGGACAGGATCAGGAGGCAGAGCAGTGGGCAGGACCATGGGCCAGGTAAGACTAAGCTAGTTGAAGGATAGAGGTCTCCCCCACGATTCTGATAGGTAACTGGATGGCGGGCCATAGGCCCTTCCACAAGGGAAACCATGGGGAGAGTTGAAGACATAAATAATAAGGTGCCTGCAGAACTCTGCTTGGATGATGATTTCTTCCGAGCACTTGATACTTGACCCTGGGTGGATATGCAGGTTATCATGAGAGAAGCCATCTAAGTACTACTCTGACTCACTGGAACCCAGCTGGTAGATGTCACGAGCCAGATGCTTCTCAGTCCTGTGTGAACTTGGAAGGAGCAAGCTAGTGTGCAGAGAGTTGGGAATGCTGTTGCCTGGTCTCGTCTCCTGTTTCTTCGGGCAGGTACCCCGAAGGAGCTGTCTAGCTGTTAGTGAAGGTACTGAAGACCAGGAGACACATTTTAAGATAGGGCCTCACATATGCTAGCTGGCCTCAAACTCACTGGATAGCTGAAGAATGACCTTGAGCATCCAATTCTCTGGCCTCCCGCCTCCAAAGTGCTAGGATGACAGGACTGTGTCACCATACCTGGTCCGTGTGGTACTGGGGCTTCACGCATGCTAGGCAATACTCTGCCAATTGTTCAGGCAGCTGGTGGGAGCAAGAAGGGTTCATACAGCTGAGAAAGGGGATGGTGGGCCAGAGGCTCTTCCACAAAGGAAACCATGGGGAGACTTGGAGAGATAAAAAAGGTACTTTGGTCTGCAGGCTCCTGTTGGGATGGAGGTTCACAGTCTCACCTGGTGAATGCTTCTCCCTCGGGTCTTGGCTTAGGTTTACCTTCTCTCACCCCCAAGGGCAGCTTAGGGGTCTCTGTGTCATAGTCTCATTTGGAGTGTGCCTCGTTATCCCAGGATTCCCCACACAGACTATGATTGCTCCTTCTAAGTATCTCCTCGGGGGAATGGAAGGTAGAGGCATGGACTTGCCCACATCTCCAACACCTGGCACAGCACTGTGTTCTCAGACAGTCTGTCTATCTGTACAAGTCAGAACGTAGTATTCTCCTGATCCCTCTGGGAAGAAGACAGGGTGTTTGATCTCAGTGGTTGTCTTGCAATGAGCACTCCTCCTATGGAAAAGGATCTGGAGACAAGCCTCGCCTGGCCCATCCTCCATATTGTCCAGGCAGTAGGGAGCATTAAAAAAAAAAGTGTAAGCACAAGTCAGTTTGACTGCAGTGTAGAGGGCCAGGGAGACTGTTGGAATGAGGTTGGGGGACGTGGACTCTTTGGAGGTGAGACACATTAGAATTCCAAAGATGGTTCAGGTTTTGATGGGGTCATAGGGTGGTTAGGATTTTGAAGCAAGACTGTTCTTGGTCCTCAGTGAAGACCGGTGTCACCACATGGAGGGGAACAGAGGCCCTCAGCAGAAGGTGAACCTGTTAAGCCTGACTCAGGCATAAGCCCCTTTTTGTTCTTTTGGGGAGGGACATAGTGTCCTTTAGCAGTAACTGCAGAATTACTTTTAAAGATGAGAAGGTCTAGGGTTGGGGTGAGGGGAAGATACCTTAAGGGGACCCGGATGTGTCTTGTGTTTTTACAAATTGAGTGTGTACAGAGGGTGTTTGTATTACTTGTGTGACTAACAGTCGACTTGTAAGCCCAGCAGGGTGACTCACACCTGCAGTCCCAGCTCCCAGGAAGCAAAAGCAGAGGACTAAATGTTCTTGGCCACCCTGGGCTACATGTTGAGACCCTGTCTTATTTTTTTGTTGGTTTGTTTGCTTGCTTGCTTTTTGAGATAGAGTTTTTCTATGTAGCCTTGGCTGTCCTGGAACTCCTCTGTAGAGCAGGCTGGCCTCAAACTTAATGCTTCTGCCCCTCAAGTGCCAGGATTAAAGGTGTGCACCACCATCACCCTGCTAAGACCCTGTCTTTTAAAATAAAAATGTGGCAGATGTGGTGAGTGGATGCTGTAATCTCTACACACCAGAGGCCGTACAAAGAACTGGCTGCAAAGTTTGAAGCTATCCTGGTCCAGAAAGCTCCAGGCCACCTGAGCTGTAGAGAACTATAGGTGGTGTGGGGCCTTCCTCTTTGGCTCTGTAGGGAGCCTCACCAAGCTCAGCGGCTTGGAATTAGGTCAGTGTCCCTACTTGGTGTTGGAGAACTTACCCGCTGGGTTTTTTCATGCTCTGCTCTGTGAAGGTCAGAGCCAAATGCAGGTTCAGCTGCAAGCCTTACACTGATTGTAGTGACTGGTGAGTTTATCTTCCTTATCTTGGCCAAGCTTTCCAGGTCTGCTTTTATTATTTGCAAGCCTTAATTTAGGGCTGGGACATAGTTCAGTGGTAGGTCGTTTGTCTAGCGTGGTTCAGTGCCCTGTTGGAAATGAATCTCAGTTTATACATATTTTTTGTTGGTGGGGGTTGCTTCTAACGTGTATGTTTTGCCTGTGTTTATATCTGTGCATCATGTTCCCCATGCCTGCAGAGGCCAGAAGATGACATCTAATCCTTTGAGACTAGTTGTGAGCTCCTGTGTGGGTGCTGGGAACTGAGAGCCCGTTGGAAAGGCAGCCAGTGTTCTTAACCCCTGAGCCATCTCCAGCCCCAGGCCTGAAACTCTTAATGCTCCTGCCTCAACCTCCTGACTACAGACTTGTGCCACCACACTTGGCATTCTGGCTTCTTGAGCTTAACATGTTTCAACTTAGCACTTTATTCTTCTTAATTGCTGGTTAGTATTTCCTGGAATAGATATGTTTTGATTATACATTTCTCATGAAATGATGGCGCTCACTTTTAATCCCAGCACTTGGGAGGCAGAGGCAGGCAGATCTCTGAATTCGAGGCCAGCCTAGTCTACAGAGAGAGTTCCAGGACAGCCAGGGCTACACAGAGAAACCCTGTCTCGAAGCAGAAAATACATATAAAATGGGGGTGGTAACTGTGCACTGATGCATTCGTCCCTCACTGTTTCCTTGTGGATGGGGTGTGACAGCTACCTCAGGCTCCTGCCTTCACCTCCTGTCAGGATGAAATGTGCACTTTAACTGGGAGCCAGAAGAAACCCTTTCCCCCTAAGTTGCTTTTCTTAGGGTATTTTAATCACAGCAGCAGAAGAAAGTAAAACCCCTGGATACTCATTATCAGGGTGACTCAGCCATTAAAGCTGTGTCTTGGACCAGGCATGATAGCAACTTCTTAAAGGTTATAGTTATATTCTTATGGTAGTGGGTGGCACGCATGCACCACTGGATGTATGTGGAAAACTTGTCACATGGAAAACTTGTAAGAGTTGATTTTCTCCTACCATACGGGTCCTTACCAACATCAGGCTTGGTGGCAAGCATGTTCACCTGCTGGGCCATGTGGCAGCCTTGGTTACAGCCTGTCATTGAAGCTTCTCAGAAGGCTGAAGTGAGAGGAACACAGGCTTGAAGCCAGATTGGGAAACATAGTAAGACTATCTCAAAACATAAGGGTAGCAGGATGTGGTGGTTCATGTCTTTAAACCCAGCACTCCAGAGGCAGAGAGACAGGTAGATTTTTGTGAGTTCAAGGCCAGCCTGGCCTACGTATTGAGTTCTAGGATAGTCATGACTAGAGAGAGACCCTGTCTCAAACAAAACAAAACAAACAAAAACCCCATAAGGATAGGATAACAGAAAAGAGGCAGGTGTGTCCCATCTCCTGTTGTTCATACTCTCATTCCCTGCCCACAGCCTCCCAGCTAACTCACAGCCTTGGCTCTGGAGCCATTGACAAGACCCACTGCTGCCAACCCTTCATGGCTGCAGAGAACTGAGTTTGCATCTGTCTTCATCCATGACCTCAGACCTGGAAAGGCAGCTAGGTTTTGATGAGGGGGAAAAAACAAAACAAAAAAAAAAAAACGAGTGAAATGTGGCATCAAGACTTGACCTTGATTGACTTTAACCTGTGGAGTTGCAGCTTAGCCCCTGATCGCTCTTCTGTGCAATGTTACCCCTAGTGTCCCGGTTCCTCTGTCCCCTGCTGCCTGTAGGCACCTTGCCCACATCTACTGCCTGGCACACACTGCACATGATGTATCCCAGTCCCTTGCTCTGTTTTGTAGAGTCTTCCTCGTCTAGCCATGTGAGAAGGAAGTAGAGGGTATTGTAGCATGTCTCTCCTGAATATACGGTTCTGATCTAACCTGGGTGCTTTTGCCTCTGTATCCTGAGCCAAGGTGACTGTGCAGCTGGTGTGTGTGGGGGGTGGAGACCATATAGTTCTGGGTTGTATGTAATTGGGGTGGCCTCGCATAATTTGCCTTTCTGTTCCCTCTCCAGGGCTGCCCCAGTACATGAAGTCTCTGCGCTGGGCTCTGGTGGTCATGGCTGTGTTACTGGCTGTCTGCACTGTAGCCATTGTGGCCCTGGCCTCTAGAGGCGGTATGGTACCCCATTCCTATTTTGTGTATTTACAGCAGAGGGGGATATGAGGTGCAGCATGAAGACACAGGCCTTATTTAGCAAAGAGAAGAGAGCTTGACCCTTTTCTCCCGTCAGTCACAGCTTGTGACCTGACAGGAAATGACAACAGCAGCCCCTCTCCAGGGGAACTTTGCACAGGGTGAAACTGTACAACCTTCCCAGGGCTCTTTCTGGCCACCATCCCTCCCAGCGGATGCTTGCCAGCTCCCTACCCATAGATTCCCCTCCTCAGCCAAGGTCAGGACCAGGGTTTGTTTTCTCAGTGTATCCATGCATAGCTCCTTAGATACTCCCCTTGACTGGCAAGTCTCTGCTTTCAGGAGCCAAGTGCCAGCCATGCCCTCAGGGCTGGATGTGGTCTCAGGAACACTGTTACTACCTCTCTGAAGAAGTCCAAGACTGGGAGGGCAGCCAGGCATTCTGCTCAGCCCACCATGCCACACTGCCTCTGCTGAGCCACACCCAGGTGAGAATGGCTGGCTAGGAGAGGGATGTGTCATCCCAGATCCCTGAATCTGAGCCCTGGAAAGACTTCCCCCACCCCTAGGGGTGTGTGTGTCTGTCTGTCTGTCTGTCTGTCCAAGTTTGCGTTATATTGCTGTGATAAGACACCATGACCAAAGTCAACCTAGGAAGGAAAAAAGAAAACAAGATTTATTTCGCCTTACTGCTTATAGTCCATCAGCCTAGGAAGTCAAGGCAGGAGCTGAAGCAGAGGCCATGGAGGAGTGCTGCTTACTGACTTGGACAGCCTGCTTTTATGTTATCCAGGACCTGCCTGAGAAGCACCCCCTACAATGGGCCGGGACCTTTCATATTATTCACTAATCAAGAGGCTTGCCTACAGCTTTTTGTTGTTGTTTTTATTTTTCTCTGTGTAACAGCTCTCAATGTCCTGGAACTTTGTAGACCACGCAGGCCTGAACTGAAAGAGATCCACCTGCCTCTGCCTCCTGAGTGCTGGGATTAGGTGTGCTTCAGCTGTCTATAGGCCAGCCATATACAGGCATTGTCTTAGAATTCTTTTTCCTCTAGATGTGTTTTTTTGCACAACTTAAATCCCAGCACTCTGGAGGCAGAGGTCAGTGGATCTCTGTGAGTTCAAAGCCGGCACGACCTACATAAGTTTCAGGCCAGCCAGGGCTGCATAGCAAGACCTTGTCTTAAAAATAAAACAACAAAAAGATACCCTCTTCCCAGCTATGCCTGGGTTTGTATCAGGTTGATAAAAACAGTCAGCACAATTGACCCTTGATACACAAAGATGTCACTTATTAAACCATAATATTTCCTTTCTTGTCCATCCCAAGAGCTCAAATTAATATAAATATCACAGTACAAAAACTCCAACATTTAAAAGTCCCACAGTATTTAAACTTTCAAATGCTTTAAAGGTTCAGTCTCTAAAAAACATCCAACGTCTCTTTACTGTTCAAAATCTCCCAGCTTTAGGACACTAACAAGTCAGAAGTACTTTCTTACACCAAAAAGGAAGAATCAGGGCACAGTTATCATTTCAACAAAGCAAAATCCAACCCCGACTACATAAGTAGCTCCATGTCCAGTGTTTAGCTACACGGCTTACTCACAGGCTGGGTTCCGCAGGGCTTGGGCATCGGCCTCTCCAGGCCTCTTCCATTCACAGAACAAGCATCTTGTCTCCTAGGCTTAGGCCAGCTCCACTCTACAGCTGCTGTCCTTGGTGGTCATCCCCTGGTCCTGACAACTCCAAAATTGTTGGGGTCTCCACTGCAGCTGGGCTGCACCTTCACCTACTCTCCTGGGCTCTCTTCGGGGACTCTGACCCTGCCACATGTGTAAAGCCTCAACTTCTCTCCATGGCCCCTTCAATCCTTTGGCTTCTACTTCAACTGAGGCTGCACATTCACCACTGGCCTCTCCTCTCATGCTGACGAGCCTCGGCTGCTCTCCGTGACCTCCTCATGCCTTCAAAATCAGTACCATCTGGGGAGCTATTACACATTACCAAGTTCAGCTGCCGGCACAAGGTAAAGCCCTGGCCTACTCTGGATCACAGAGGAAACACTTCCCACAAAATTTTGCCTCAGTGATGCTATTCTCTTCTTAATCTCAGCCCTACTTGACTAGAATCAATTGGCCCAGCAAAGCACAGGTGTCACTATAGTGGTTCTTAATTCAAACATCAGATGGCTCTGATAGTCTTTATGAGACTCTCAAGTTTTCCCCCCTCCCCCCCCCCCAAATCTAACAAGCCAAACTTCCGTCATCATCTGCTCTCAGCATTATCTTCTGAGACAATGTTCCCACGGCAGCACATTGAGATCTGAGCACTCCAGGCTTTTTCTAGCCTAAAGTTCACCATCCTCCCAAACCACATGGTTAAGTCTGTCTCGGCATTTATATCCACTTAGGGTTCCTATTGCTGTGATAAACACCATGATCAGAAGCTACTTGTGGAGGAAAGGGTTTATTTCGCTTACAGCTTGTAGTCCATCTTCTAGGGAAGGCCGGGCAGGAAGCTGGAGGCAGGAGCTGATGCAGAGGCCATGGAGGAGTGATTACTGGCTTGCTCCTCATAGCTTGCTCAGCCTGCCTGTATTAGTCATGGCTCTCTTGAGTAAGAAAACTTAGAGAATGAATGTAAATAGTATGTGCACACACAGCTTACAGAATGAATGTAAATATTACGCACACACACACACACTTTCTGTATATATAAATGGGATTTATTAAAATGAATTCACGTGCCAGCTAGTTCAACAATGGCTGTCTACCAATGGAAGGTCCAGCAATCCAGTAGCCGTTCAGTCCATGAGGCTGGATGTCCCTAATGGTCTTCAGTGTATGCCAGGATCCTGAAGAAGTAGGTTCTAACGCCAGTGAAGGAATGGACTCGCTAGTGAGAGTGAGAGCAAGCAAGAAAAAGAGCAGGCTTCCTCCTTCCCTGTCCTTTGTCTAGGCTGCCAGCAGAAGGTGTGGCCAGATGAGAGGTGGATGTGCCCACCTCACAGATCAACCAAGAAAACATCCCCATGGACTTCTGCCTGTGGGCCAGCCTTACAGAACCATTCGTTTCCCCAATGACGGTTCCCTTTCCCCAGCTATGTCTGGTTTTGTCAACTGGACAAAAACCATCACCAGCATGTGTGCACTTGTGCGTGTGAATGTGTATACATGCATGTACTCTCGCATGTAGATGCCAGACGTCAGCCTGGGGTGTTGTTCCTCAGGTGCCACTTGAGACAGGGTCTCTTTCTGTTTCTTATTGCCACAGTTTCAGTGCATTCTATTATTGTGGGAGGGAGACATACATGCACACGGCACAATGTGTGTGCGGAGGTTAGAGGATAGTTTTGAGGAGTTAGCTCTCTGCTTCCATCACGTGTCCCTGAGGGCTTGAACTCGGCTCATCAAGCTTGGAAGCAAGCCTTTTAACCACTGAGCCATCTCCCCGGCCCCACGCTCACCTTTGTAATGGCTTGGACACCACTGAACCCATGCAAAGTAACTTTGCTCCTGTAGAGACCACACCATTACTCTGCCCCATGTCTCCCCTGACCTTAATCAATCGCTGGCCCTTCTGGCTACTGGCGGAAGCACAGTGTCCGGCCACCAGCGAGCATCTAGGTCATCTTCCATAAGTGCAGGGATTTTTGCAAGATCTTTGAGCTGATTAGGATGTCCTAGTGACTCACAATGTCCAAAGAGTAACTGCCTGCTTTTCTCCCTCAGGACTTCTTAAGAAAATACCAGGTCACCAAAGGCTCTTGGGTGGGGGCCCGACGAGGCCCTGAAGGCTGGCACTGGACTGATGGGGTCCCTTTGTCATCCCAACTGTGAGTAACTAGATTCCCTCTTCCTCTGTTGTGCTGTATCTTCCTTTTGCCCCAACCAACCTTCAGTACTGACAGGAGACCCATTCTACACCCAGCCAAGGAGGGTTAGCATTGGCTTATCCAACCCTGGTGTGGGTCCCCAACACACTCACCCAGACAGAACTGCCATGGCTGCTTTTCAAGTACAAGGTCTATAGCATAGGAATTTGGTGGTTCTACCATGTAGCTGACCACTGAGAGACACTGCCAGGGCTCTTTCCAGATATTTCCTGCCTGTGTAGTGACTGACACAGTACTGCATCTGTATAGAAGACAGGTCCAGCAACCTGAGTGTTTTTTCTCTCTCTCCTCCCTCACCTCATCCCACTGCAGGTCCCCGGAAGACAATGAGGACCATCCAGACTTCAGCTGTGGGGGTCTGGAAGAAGGCAGGCTCGTGGCTCTTGACTGCAGCTCCCCCAGACCCTGGGTCTGTGCCAGAGGAACCAAATGACTTAGTCTCCTGTGTTAGACCTGTCTCGAGCTGCCTCCATTGCTTTTGCTTTGGTGTGACCAAAATATCTGACAGAAACAATTTCAAAGTGGCAAGAACGACCAGGCTCATGGTTTCAGAGGGCTGAACCTGGCAGAGCTGCCCAGTCCACAGCAGCAGAGGAAGTTGCTGGAGCCAGGGGTGGGAACAAGCTTCAAGGCCTGTCACTGTTGCCAGACCTCCACAGACCAGGCTCTACCTCCTGAAGCTCTTGTCACCCCTAAATCCATCACTACCAGCTGGGAACAAACCTATGGCAGATACTTCAGGTTCAATCCAGAACATTCCTATAACAAATCCCCTGAAGATTCATACCTGTCTTATTTTGAGACAGGCTCTCTCTATACCCCTGGCTGGCCTGGAATTTACTGTGTGGTTCAGGGTGGCCTTAAGTCCCTAGGGAAGCCTCCCGAGTACAGGGATTACAGACGTGTGCCACCACACCCCGCCCATGGCTAACCCATAATGCAAAATGTATTCAATCCAATTTCTAGAGACTCTATAATCTTAACAGTTCCAACGTTGTTCAAAAGTCCAAAGACTCTTCAGGCTGGTGGTCCCCACAGCTGTGGGCAGAAGAGATGCACCAAACCTCCCCACCTTCCATTTCCTTCCTCAGTCAGCCTCATGCTTCATAGAAATTTCTGCTTGCCAAGCCGGGCACTTTTGCTCTTCTGACCAAGCAGCCCCACCTTCTCTGCCTTGCCTTAAGAGATGAGCTAGCTGGGAGCCCTGCCCGCTCTGTATGCTGGTCTCCAGCAGAAGAGTCCTCAAAGGAAGGCACTAAACCTATTCTGATATGGGCTGGCTGGGATCCCATGTAAAGGAGTGGAGCACCCAGGGGAGGTGTTGGGTTGTAGTGTGTGTGGGTTGATGTGTGGGTCTCGCCTCTATCTCACCACGTGGTTAGGGCCTCTTGTGCAGACAGAGGCTCGGGAACTTGACTGTGTTCACTCCCCACTGGCTCAGGGAGGACATCGGCTATGTGATGCCTTGGGACTCTGCTCAGGGTGGGGGAGCACAGTCTGAGGTCCCTCGGGGAGCCAGAGCTCTTGGCTTGGGGGTCCCCAGGCCAAAAGGCAGCCAGGAACTGGCTGGTTCTCAGACCCTCAGAGGCCCCGAGGAAGGGCAGAGAATGAAGTGGGTGCGTAGGGGCTGAATTTGCAAGCAGCCAAAAGGGAGAGGGGGAGAGATGCGCTCCAGCGTCCCATGGGGATGAGAGTTCTTAGCTGGCTTGGGTTGGCTGGTGGTCTCCATGGCTGGGAACTCAGGTTGTCAACGGGAGATTAGGCGGCGGCTCTGTGGATGAAGATCTGTTCCACTGTTCCCCACAGTGGGTCCCAAAGAAGAATAACAGTCTATGGTCTTAAAATGTTGTCATGGTGGAAAGATGAAAACTATACCCCAGTTTCTCAGGGGAGGCCTGAGGTTAGATACCTTTTGCAAGGAGGAAAATCTGGGAAGGAATGTTTAATTGGCTACGCCCTTCTGGCCTTTAGGTATCTCATTAATATGGAGATCTGTCTTGAGGCTCAGTGGCCTGTAGTCATGCCCTCTACCTGTGGAGTCCTCCACGGTCTGCGGGCCTCAAGTCTGGGAGTGTGGCGAAATGTATGCTATCCCTTAGGATCACCTGGAGTCTCTGGCAATTTCTAGCCAGTGCTCCACCAGAAACCATGCTGTCCTTTTCACCTCCCCCAAAAAAACACAAGTTCACACACTAAAATAAATTTAAAAAAAAAAGAAAAAAGGACTGGGCCCTCACAGGATGGTTTAACAGGTAAGAGCACTGGCTGCTCTTCTAAGGACCTGAGTTTGGTCCTAGAACTCTTTCAAACTATAACTCCAGCACCACCCCCCACCCATATCACACCCCCAAACTCATCAGGCACTACATGACCATGGTGCAGATATACATCCAGGAAAAACACCCATACACATAAAATGGGGTGGGGGAGCCTTGCAGAGAGGCACATACAATAAATTTGAGGAAAAGACACAAACACACACACACACACACACACCTGGGCATGCCTATGAGGTAGTTGTGTTGAGGTGGGAAGAGCCATTCTAAATGTAAGTGGTAGCATCCCAGGACTAGGGTCCTGGGATGAACAGAGAAACAGGGTGAGCACCAGCATCCAACCCTGCCGGCTTCCCAGCCGCAGAAGCAGTGTGAGCAGAAGTCTCACACGTCTGCCAGGCTTCCCCAGCATGTTGGCCTGCATCCTCAAACTGGGAGCCAAGACATACTCTCCCTCCTTTAAGTTGTCAGATATTTCGTTGCAGCAACAAGAAAGGTAGCTAATATATTAATTAGCAAATGCCATTGTGGGTTGAGGAAGCAACCCTGGAACATCTGGCCATGCCCTGCTCCCTAATGTCTTCCTAAGGGTTCCTGTCCCTAGGTTCCCGATGCTTCTCTGGTTAAGGGCTTAAGGTGTATTCATTCTGAATTCATTCTTTTTTGAGAATGAACTTGGTTCAGCTTCCTGCCCTTGTTGCTCATGGGGACATTTACAAAAGAAAATACAGCTGCATTGTCCTGGCATCCCTACACTACAAGTTTTGTGTGTGTGTGTGTGTGTGTGTGTGTGGTGTGTCTGTTTGTCTATCCAAGCACCCAGCACCTACTTAGAGAGCAGCAGCCAAGGGAAAATCTTAAGCAAAAGAAACCTCTAGAGACTCCATACCCAAACAATGAACACAGCTCTCTGAGTGCGCTTTACAGGCTGTTGGGAGGAAGAGCAGTCAATACATAAAACCAGCAGCAGCATTATGATCAGGACCATGCCTTTGGATTGAACTGGGTCTCTTTTCAAACTATGGAAGTTCGAAATCCCAACACCTATACTGTGACCTTTAGGGAAATAATGTGTGTGTGCACACTCAGGTAAAGATGAGGCCATTCATGTGGCTAGTCAGATATGAATAGTACCTTTAGAAGAACTTTGTGACCAACAAGATGGCTCAGCTGGTAAAAAAAACACTTGCTGTATAGCCTGGCAACCTGAATGTGATCTCCAGAACCCATATAGAGGAGGAAGAAGAGAACTGACTCTCACTTCCACATGTGCACAAGCCCCGACCCCTCTCGTGTGTGTGTGCACACATACACACATGACACATAACTTTTAAGTGTACTGCTGGCAAGATAGCTCAGCAGGTGGAGGCACTTACCACCAAGCTTGATAACCTGATTATAATCCCCAGGTTCCAGAGTGCAAGGAGACATTTAGACTATCTGTAGGGAGTCTGAGAATAAAAACATCAAGGAATTCTGCCTCTAAGAGAAATCAGTTTTTACTTCTCAGAGTCTTAAAGGTATGCTTTAGTCCCTGTCAAAGGTCTGACCAAGAGTGGACAACCTATGCTTTGGAGAGAAGCTGGCCTTGAACTGCAAAGGCATTTCCCAACAATGCACATGGATCTGTGGATTAAGGTATGTGTGTGGATTCCAAGGACATCCCAGGAACACTGGGGGCTCCAAACAGCAATGCTAAGCAATTCCAGCCAGGAAAGCCATCTGTCTTCTTACATTCACAGCTCTTGTTGCGTGCTATCCAGTGTACTTACCTGTATTAGCACGTGTAATTCCCACCATGACCTAGCAAACTGGAAAAGCTAGATTCTAGGTTATAAACAATAACAAACTTTAAATAAGACAAGCAGAAAGGGAGAATTAGAGTGGTTTGAATTAAGTGTGGTTTCTCTTCACATGATCTCCTTTCTCCTTTTGGACCATTTCCTCCCTAGAGGAATACAGTCACCAAAAGTGCTTAACTTACCTGTCCTCAAGTCAAGAGATAGTCAACCTAAGCTGGAAGTTTCTAGTCAAAAGAAGGGGCTCTGAACTAGGCAGGCTCTAGTGCCAGCCCTGGACTGCTGAACTGCAGCCAGGAATGAAGTCATACTGCAACCAAAGTGGAAACTTCCACACTGCATTGAAATATGAAGACAATGGGAGGAGGGGAGAGTATTCAGAACAGGACAGCAGGCAAATCGTACAGCGAACAGGAGGAATCTTCCAGGCTTGTGTTACTCCGCTATTCCAAAGCTGAGACTCTAAGACTTGCCGGGCAGCAGAGGGGAGGTCAAGAGTGCAGACCCTGGAGATGTGAGTCAGCACTTATCAAAGAAAACATATAAAACCCAAATAAGCACAAGGAGTGAAGAGATCACGGGTGGCACAGCCTTCCAATGGATTATACTCAGATGTAAAAACAAAGAGCTCTGGGGCTGGTTCTCAGAACCAAGACGGTGGCTTACAAGCATCTGGAACCGCAGCCCCAGATCTGAGTACCTCTTATGACTACCACAGGCCACAGGTGCTAGGAATGAACATAACACACGTGGAGGCAAGACACTCACACACATGCTTTAAAGTTTTCTATATTTATGTATTCATTCATTTTGTTGTTGTTATAGTCTTTCAATGTAGTACTGGTTGTCCCAAAACTCACTAGGTAGACCAGACTGGCCTTTAACTCATGGAAGTCCTCTTGTCTTTGCCTCCAGACTACTGCATTAAAGGTGTGTGCCATACATATGGCCATATCTTTTTTAGAAACGCTTGTCTTTTGTACGCGTGCTCGTGCATGTATGATATGCTTGTGCACATACATGAATGTAAGTGGAGTATGAGACAGTGTGTATGTGGAGGTTAAAGGACAATCTTGGGTGTCAGTCCTCATTTTTCACCTTGTTAGGCATAGGGTCCGTTATTCACTATTGCACATGGCAAGTCAGCTGGCTACCAAACTTTTGGGTTTCTCCTCTCTGCACCCATCTCATGGTAGGAGCCTCCACATCAGACTTTATATGAGTTCTGGGGGTTAACTGAGGTCTTTACACTTGGATAGTAAACACTGTACCGCTGAGCTACTTTTCTAACCGATAAGCAAATGTATATTAATAGACACAAAACACAGCTGAATCTCTGGAAAAGCAGCCAGACTTGA